ACTCCCTATCCTCCTGTCTCTACCTCCCTGGGACCCCAGATGTGACCACCACATTTGGCCCAATTTGCACCGTTCTTAAAAAAAATGTGTAAAATGACTTTTCAAGTTGTTCTCATTTTATCTGAAGATAACTTTGGTCCCTAGAATGGCTAAGTTTAGGACAGGAAATGTTTGGTTCAAGGTCACCCAGAAGCAAAGGGTCATCTCTGAAATTCAGACCAAGACCAAAGTTATAATCATCAATTTTCTGCCTCAAATTGGCCCAACCCATACTCACTGGTTAGTTCTAGAAGTGACAGCTATGTTCACAACTGTTGCCTAGCTCTCCAGCCCGGTCCTGGATACCTTTATTTCTCCTCTTTGCTCCTCAACCTGATTCTGGTCTCGATGGGAACCGAACGGCATCCTCCTTTTCCATCAGGGTTAAACTACGGTAGGAGCAGAGGGTACCAAGAAAAAGAAAATTGTTGGGAAAACTCAAAATGCTTGCTATGCTTGTAAATGAATTATGGTTCATTTAGAAGAAATCTTTGGCCCCGTTACTTGGGGAAAGAGGAAAAAAGGACCCTGAGAAGTTGAGCTTTCCCTTGATTTTTTAGGAGAAAGAGGGGAGAGCATTCCTGGGGTCTTTTTAAAAAGGCCCTCCCCTCATTTCCGGCCGCCGCTGCCAACCTTGGCTGGGCGCCTGGATCCTGTTGCTATGACAACAGGAAGAGGCGGTGGCGGCGGCAAGCCATGCTGAAGAGATGGAGGCTAGTGGGGGTGGGGGTGATGGCTTTGAAATGGGGGTGGGGGTAGGGATCAGGGGGATGGGGGTGCGGGTGGGAGAGGGCAGAGGTGCCCTCTATTTCGGCCTTCCTCAGTGCATCTGAGCTGGTCCCCTTTCCCATAATCAGTCTCTCTGTCTCTCAGTCTCTCTCTGTCTCGCTGTCTCTCTCTCGCGGTCTCTCTCTGTGTCTCTCCCTCACTCTCTTCCTTGCCCCCATCCCCAATTTCTTTCTCACCCCTTCCTCAATTTCTTTTCCTTCCCATCCTCTCAGTCTCTCTCTTCCCACCGTCTCTCCTCCCTCTTCTCTGGATGGACTATCTCTTATTCCTATTCCCTTGTTTCCCAGACCCCGACCCCCTCTTCTTCGCTTTCCCCCACACCCTTCCCCAGCCTCCCCCTACCCTTCTATTTCTCCCTCATCTCTTGCTGTTCTCTCTTTGCATCTCTTCCTGCTTCTGTCCCCTTCTCTCTCTGGATATTTCTCTCTGTGTGTGTCTCCTCAACTTCCTTCTGCTACCAGTCACTGCCTCCCCCAAATTCTTCCCTCCCCCACCTCTGTTCTCAGTCTCTGGGTCTCTCTCTTTCCGATTCTCCTTGTCTCTCTCTGTCTCCCTACCTCTCTGAATCTATCTCTCTTCTTCCTCAGCTTCCTCCTGCCACTCAGACCCCGCTCCCCAACCACTTCCCTTCCCCCCAATCCCTCTCCTCTCGGAGGCTCCCCCATCCTTCAGCAGCTCCCCTCCCCCTCCCTCCCTCCTCCCTCCTTCTCTCTTCCAGCTCCGCACTTTACCCAGCGACACGAGAACCAAATTGTCTCCTCACCTTTTTTTTAAAGCCCGACCCTCTCATCCTGACGGCCCAAGCGCCAAGCTACCCCCAGCTCCCCTCCCCCTCACTCTACACCCCCATTCTTCATACGCCTCCTCATCTCCATCCCCTCAACCAGGTCGGACGCCTGGGTCCCTTGCTGCTGGGGGAGGGGGAAGCAGCGCGAATTGGGAGCCCAGAGGTGTTTCTGGGGGTGTGCTGGCAGCAGGGGCTGGACGTCCCTCCCCAGTGCATCGGAGAGTTGATCTACCGTTAACTGAGGTGAGAGATCTTTTTATTAATCGGAGGTGGGTGGGTGTAGATTTAAGGTTCCATGAATCCCCCTAATTCTGGGAGGAAAAACACCTAGTCTCTCAAACGAAGGACTGTGACCCCCCTCTTTTATCCAGAATCTTTATAATTGGGGGTTCCCCTATTCCTTTCTCCGCTGCAGATAGACTCAATGAAGAGTCCCCAAAGCCAAACAGATTGTCTCTCAAATTGACAAAAATGAAAAGCTCTTAAAATCTTTATGGATGGAGAAAGTCCCTCCTAGTCCCCTTTCCCCTTATCCTGGTTGTAGGGCCCACGAGGTTTGGGAATAAGGTACATGTTGGGGTTAGAGCTCATGTCTGTGGAAGCAGCAATTTGTTAAGACAGTGGAGGAGGCTGCTGTGTAAGGGGCACAGGCATGTCCAGAGGCAGGAAGAGGGAAACTCCGTCTGGGTTAGGGACCAACCTGGAAAAAACGGGAAAGCTGGGAATGGGCCCAGGAAGGGGCCGTGTGTGATGTTGTGTGTGTGTGTGTGTGTGTGTGTGTGTGTGTAGGCAGGAACACACGTGTGGGGACTAGGCCCGTTGCCATGGAGACACCCCCCATAGACAACCTTTCTCTACAGCCCCTCCTGGGAGCAGACCCAGTCCAGGGCCAGCTGGTGGGGGTGGTGGAGCTAGAGAGGAAACTGGGAGGCCAAGGTCACCCTGTACTGGGACCTGGGGTTTCTAGTTGGTGCCTCTCATCCTCGGAGCTTCCAGACTCCTTCTTCACTGGGATTTGGGAAAGAAGTCAGGGGAAGAGGTTGAAACAGGTGAGGGCAACACAGCCAGGAAGAGGCACAGCGGTGGGGATCTCATATAAGGGAGAAATGAATGGACAGGGAGCAAACTGTCTGGAACTGGGAGTTGTAGTTTCGTAGCTTGCTTTCTTTTTTGTGTGTGTTTCTGTTTTGGAGATGATGGGGGCTCAGTTTCTGCACAGGTGAGACTGTAATGAGGAAAGACTGGGAATGTTCCGGAGAAGTCCGCGGGACCTGAGGAGGGGATTTTCCTTGGTGAGACAGATGCTGAGAGCTGTGGTGTGTGGAAGAAATAGGCAAAAGGGAAGAGGATTCTCTATGATGTTAAAACAAAAGTTGGGGATGGCAAGTTGTAATCTGTTAGAGTGTGGGGTTCAGAGTCACCTGGGAAGATCTAGAATTGGGGGATCCCTTGCAGGGTAGACTACTGTAGCGAGATGTCTCTGCTGAAGGCAAGAGCCAAGGCTTGCTGGGCAGAACAGGGAAAGGCGATTATATTTTGGGACAGTTTAGATATTAGAACATTTCTGAATGGGAGGGAATTGGGGTCTGGAGAAAGCAAAGGCTGTGAGTAGGAAACCTTGTGAAGCTCACAGAGCAAATTTTTCTTAATGGAGGAGAAAGCAACGGGAAAGATGAGTTTGTGTGAGTTGTAGGGAGAACGGAGACAAGGTTCCAAACACTGGAAAGCAAGACAGAGGTGGAGTTTTCTTTGAGTCCAAAACATAGCAGGCCTCTGGGGTTGGAAGGGAGATGGATGAATAACCCACAAGGGACAGGAGGGGCTGTGAGAGTCTGAGTGGTAGGATTGGGGTATAGTCTTCCAAGCCTAGGGGATCTGGAAATTCCCCAGGGAGCTTTTGAAAAGCCCTAGGTGCTTGACCACATTTCAGACCCCTTACCTTGAGATTTCTCGGGTAGGAGTCCAGTATCAGAATTTTTATTTAATCTTCTGGTACTTCGAAGATGTATCCAAGGTGGTAAGGCCAGTCCTAAGACGCAAGGGCCTATAGAGAGGAAACCGAGGAAGCCTCAGGGCCACTGAGCAGATACTGTACATCTGTGAATAGTGAGGGTCACTTGCGAAGGCTTGTTTTAAGCTAAGGAGAGACTGAGGGTTTCATTTTTTCTGAGTAAATTATAGGAGACATGCAAGGTGTCATTGAGTGACAAAAACAGGGAGGGAGGCATTCTGTCAAGGAGGGGAAAAAACCAAACCAAACCATGGAATTTTTCTTTAGATGGGGGTCTCAAGTAGCCCAGGCTGGCCTCCAACTTGCAGTGTAGCCAAGGACATCCTTGAGCTGATCCTCCTGCCTCTACCTACTGAGTGCTGGGATTACAGGCATATGCCACCCTGTCCCGTTGATGTTGTGTTTGCAATCAAACCCAGGGCTTTATACAGGTTAGGCCAACACCTACTGGGTACATCTGCACCTGAGAGTGTGGCTTCTAAATTGGAGAGAAGCCAGAGGCAAAATTGGAGAAGTATGAACAGGTTTTTCCTCAGCAATGTCCTAGAGCCTGTGTGTGTGCATGCGTGTGTGTGTGTGTGTGTGTGTGTGTTTATGTATGTTACTGTATGTGGGAAGGCTGGTAATGGGGGTCAGGGGAATTAAGCAATGAGACAGGCAAGGACCTCCTTAGGAGGAGCTAACAGTGGAGTTTGAATCAAGGGTTGAATTTGTAAGAGGGCATTGGGGATCACAGGAGAGGAATCAAGGGGGCTGGGTCATGACCTCTGAGTATATGGGCTGATAAAGTACAATCTTTCGGTAAAAATTAGCAGGAAAGGTCGGGTGTTGGTAGCACATGCCTTTAATCCTAGTGCCCAGGGTGGCAGAGGCAGGCAGGCAGATCTCTGTGAGTTCAAGGCCAACCTGGTCTACAGAGTAAGTGTTAGGACAGGGCCCAAAGCTACACAGAGAAACCCTGTCTAAAAAATCAGAAAAGAAAAAAAAAAAGACACACAAAAAAAAGAAAGAAAGTTAGAAAAAGACATTAGCAATTAACAGGAGAGCAGTTTTGAGCAAAAAGAGACCATCTCAACAGAACTAACTCTCTCTCTTGTGTCCACCAGCTGGAGACCATGGCTTCACTCTGACCTCCGCCTCCGCAGCCACCTGCTTGCTGCCTCCATCCCCTCTGGCCCCTCGAGGCCCCCGCTTCTGCCTGTGTTGTGACCCCCCCCAGCCGCCGGCACGGCCCCACCTCCGCTGCCCCGGTGGTGGCCCACGGCCCCCCGGCTGCCTGTGGTCAAACTGGAGTCATTGAAACGTTGGAATGAAGAGAGGGGTTTGTGGTGCGAAAAGGGCGTTCAGGTATTGCTGACCACTGTAGGCGCGTTTGCGGCCTTTGGACTCATGACCATCGCCATCAGCACTGACTACTGGCTCTACACACGAGCTCTCATCTGCAACACCACCAACCTCACCGCAGGTGATGATGGACCACCCCACCGTGGGGGCAGCGGCTCCTCAGAGAAGAAGGACCCTGGGGGCCTTACACACTCAGGCCTCTGGCGGATATGCTGCCTGGAAGGTAGGGTGCAGGAAGGCCCTGGCTGGCCACCTCCACTGAAGCCTGTGCCTCCAGCAAATTGACGGCTAATGTGTTCTGAGTCTCCATCTCAAGGTCTCCAGGGGTGTGCTTCCCTGCTGGAGCCTCTGTGATTCCACGCATTTCTCTGCCCTACCTCCCAACCCTTCTTCTGTGCTTCTTTTATTTTATTTGATGATGTGGATGGATGCGTTGCCTGTAGGTTCGACTATTACCACGGGCATGATCTGTAACCTTTGGGGTCGAAAAGAGGGTGCTGGGTCCTCGGGAACTGGAGTTACAGATGGTTGTGAGCCGTGTGGAATTACTGTACACGCATTTCTGTGTGTCCGTGTTTTAAATACTTGCATGTGTTCAAGTACCCATGCAAGCTTGAACAGAGCCTCTGATCCCCTGGAGTTAGTTATTAAAACCTTGTAAGCTATGCAATATGGGTGCTGGGAACTGGACTCTGGTCGTTTGGGAGAGCAGGGAATACTCTTCACTGCTGAACCATTTCTTTGGCCTCCTTAATTTTTTTTTATTCTGTCTGTCTGTCTGTCTGTCTGTCTGTCTATGTATCTATCTATGTATATCTATGTATCTATCTATGTATCTATCTATCTGTCTATCCATCCATCCATCTATCTATGTAGCCATCTATGTATCTAGCTAGCTATTTATCCATCTATCTATGTATCTATCTAGTGAGTACTAGTTCCAGTGTGAATGTGGAAGGCAAAGGCAACTTGAAGAAGTTGATAATCTCCTCCCACTGTGTGGGTCCAGGCTGTTCCACTCAGCAGCAAGCAGCTTTACACACAGGCCATCTCACCTGCCCCTGCCAATTCTCGTCCCTTCCTCACATCTTTCCTTTCCTGTTGGTTTCCAGAATTGAAACAAAGCTATGCCTTCTGACCTCCTCTGGTCTCTCTTGCTCTCTCTCCCTGCTGGAGGCCATCTTCTCTTCATCTGCAGCGCTTAGCACCTTTCCCCATCAGAACTTCTCCCAAGCTCACATCCTGGTCTTTCTAGTTCTTATTCGGACAGTTCCGCTCCATCTCCACAGCCTCATGCCTTCCTAGCGGACTCCTGGGATGCTTCCTCTTCTCTGACCCCTTGTTTCTGCACTCTCCCTCCAAGTATTTTCTGTTTTTGGGTGTTGCTTTCAGGCTCAAACCTATCTCCTTCCGGACCCTTCTTGTCTAGGACACCTGCTATCTTTCTCTTCGCTCCTTCTCTATCCCATCCTCCATGTTAGTAATTCTTTCATGCAAATTTCCTGTGTATCTATCATGCATATAGAGGCTGTGAAGCAAGACTCGGGGTGCTTTACCATGTGACCCCTGTCCTCCACCTTTCTGAGCCTTCTCACCCTCATCTGTGGCACTGAGGATGGACCAGCAACCCCGAAGTTCCTCCTTTCCCACCAAGAGCTGAAGTTTTTACACTTTTACTTTTTGTCTGTCTTATTTTTTCTATTGCCCCTGACTCCTCTGGTCTTGTCAAATCACTCGCCTCAAGTGAAGAATGGGTGGGCTTTGAAGATGAGTCCGTGGAATGTTTCATACCGGAAACCAAAGTCAGTCACCAGCATTTCAAAGCAGGGAGAATGCTCCCTAAAGATCTGACCTCTGGCTTCCAGCAAGCTATCACAGAAGATCTGGTGTTCAGAACGGACCCCTACGGGCCCCATTTGAGTAGCAGACACTTTCTTTAGATCTGGTTATGGAGTCAATCAGATGTCATAGTCACCTCTGCTCGCTGTCATCCCATGTCCCTCCTCTTCTCTGGTACCCCCACCCTACGGGACATGTCACTAATGTCCACTCTTCGGCCTCACCAGGGCTGAAGTACAGAGCCGTATATGGGAGTTTGCACTGGAACCCTCCTTGAAATATATTTCATTCATTCATTCATTCATTCATTCACTCATTTATCTGTGTGTTCATCCATCCATCTTTTTAAGTTGACTTTAAACTGTGTAGCAGATTCTGTACCTTTTAATTTTGTATGTGTGTCAGTATGGTTTGAATGTGTGTTTTGGTGTGTAGGTAGCGGTCAGAGGAGAGCTTGTGGGGGTCATTTCTCTCCTTCCACCATGTAGTCCATGGAATTGAATGTAGGTTGTTCATCAGCCATCTCCATGTTCCCCAGGTTCTCCTTGTTGAATCAAGAGCAATAAGGGATAGAAACGACATACAAATCTCTGACTTTAAATATCTTCTGATCTGAAAGGAGAAAGACTAATGGGAATCATAGAGAGGAAGCAGAAATGGAGAGAGGGGCCATATCAGGGTTATGCATGTGAGTTAGTTGAGAAGGATGGGAGGCGTTTGTTTCATACAGCAGTTGACATTGGTTGGTGGCCTGAGAAAGTGAGGTATGGATGTATGGGCTGTGGAAATCGGGGCTGCAAAGCCTCTGAGGTGACCATGAATCTGTGTTGGCCGCCAGCGGGAAGCCAGTGTGACTGGCAGACAGGGAGGGAGCAATGCTTGGCCAGAGAGATAATAAGCTCTTGACGTCACAGGCTCATATGTATCCCACAGAAGATCCGGCGTTTGCCCAGAGATGGGAGCCATTGGAGTCTCTGGAGTAGAGAAGCCACGGGAGTTGGCTTAAGTTCTAGCAGCATGGCTCTTGCTGCTATGTTGAGAAATGGCTCAGGGGAGGGTGGAAAGGGAGAATGTGGGAGCCGTGATTTGAATTCATAGTATATTCCAAAGTTCCCCGTGGGAAGGCATTGCTGATGGAGCAACTGTGGGATCTGAGATGGAGAGACGGGTGAGGGGTGTCTTGGAGGCGGGGCTTCTGAACCTCCGCCCCGGTGACATTTTGGGACTGAGGATTCTGTGTGGCGGGGGCTGAGCTGAGCACCGTAGGATGTTGATCTGCTTCTCTATTCCCTGTCTAGTCCCGCCCACCCCCAACAGTTGTGACAACCAAAATTGTAAATTGTCTCCATACATTATCTACCTTCCCATGGGGGATTAAAAAAAAAAAATCACCTCAGGTGAGAAATCCCACGTGATGAGGAAGTTTTGGTCAGAGCCACTTGACAATGGGGGATCTGTTCATGAGAAGGAAGAGCAGGGCATTTTGTTTAAATTCCTTTATTTTCTCTTATTTCTTTCATTATTAAGGAGGGATAGCACTGGCTCAGTTGTGAACGTGTCAGCTTTAGAATGCTTGCTAAGAAATAGTGCCAGTGATGGGAGAGGCGGCATTCTCTGAAGGGCTTACAGCATGCAGAGGGGTAATTATTTCTGGCTTTGTGGAACACACGGTCAGTGTTGCCACTTCTAGTGGAAACATCCATTCCACCCCCGAGCGTGGCCGCCATCTAGCTGAGTATCCTTGGTGGACGTCGGCATTTGAATTTCGTGTCCTCTGCTTTGCTCTTCCTTTCACCCCCTTCTTCCCTCTTTCTCTCCCTTCCTTCTTTTCTCCTTCTCCTTCCTCCACCTCTGTCTCTTCTTTCTGTGTGTTTTGGTTTGGGTTTTTGAGATAGGGTCTCACGTAGCCTAGGCTGACTTCTAACTTGCTATGTAGCCAAGGTTGGACTTTGTTTTTAAACAGGAAGTCTGTACAGTCTCTTTTAATTGTATCTGTTTTGTATTATACTTATTTATTATTGTGGAGGGGTGCACGCACATGTCTGTCATGGTCACATTGGTTGAGGTCAGCAGATAACTCACAGCAGCTAGTTGTCGCTTCTCTTCCTACCCCGTGCGAGTTCCAGGGTGGAGCTCAGGCCATCAGATTTGACAGCAAGCACCTTTACCCAGTGAGCCATTCCAGCAGCCCAGACCAGATCCCCTTGTCTCTGTCTCTTAAGTGACTGGGATTATATAGCACAACTCCCCATACCTAGCTTAGAGTTTTTGCTTTTGCAACAAGACTATGAGATGCAGCTCAGGCTAGCCTTCAGTTCACAGCAGTTCTCCTGCCTCAGCAAGCAGCCTCAGTACTGGGATCACAGGTATGAACAGCCGCACCTAGGCTTTTCCCCCTAAGAGATTGAATTCAGGGCCGCATGTATGCTGGGAAGGCATGCGATCCCTTAGCTGTACCCTCGGCTTTCTTTTTATTTTTATACCGTCTCACTGACTTTCCCAGGCTGGCCTTGAACTTGCAATCCTTCTGCCTCAGCCTCCCAAGTAGATGTAATAAAAGGTTTGTGTCAAAAGTTCTGGCTGAGTTTCATGCCATTTCAGATAGGAGGAAATCACTCTCCTTGATACTTTTCAAAGTGAAGAAATTATTCTCAGTTAGGTCTGGTCTGCTCATTGTCCTTTCCTCCTCTTGTTCTGACCTGTTAGAGACATGCTCTGGGAGACTGGAGTCAGCCAGCCTGGCTGGAGAAGTCTATGTGATGAGCATCAGTGCGTGTGTGAACCAGAGTCACCGAAGAGAAAAGGAAGAAACACAACAAATGACTAAGTTCATAAAGTGCTTTCTTTGCAAATACAAGGACCTGAGTTCAATTCCCAGAACTTACGTAAAGAACTAGATAGGGGGGCTGAAGAAATGGCTCAGTGGTTAAGAGCCCTGACTACTCTTTTAGATGACCTGGGTTCAGTTCCCAACACCTGCATAGCAGATCACAACTGTCTGTAACTCCAATTTCTAGGGACCCGACACCCATGAAAAAACACCGAAAGTCAGACATGGCAGCAAAAGCTTTTCTGGGGCTTGCTGGTCAACCTGGCCTCTAGCAAGAGGCTCTTTCTCAAAGGAAGTAGCATACAATAGAATGACATTTAAACAAGCATAAGAAAAAGCAAACCAAAAACATTTGAAGCCAGGCATGGTGGCCCACTCCTACAATCCTAGCATTCTGGAGGCAGGATCTCCAGGGTATGATCCATGCTCCAGATGGGCCTGGGCTACATAGCAAGACCTTGTCTCAAAAGTAAAAAAAAAAAGTAAAAAAAAAAAAAGACAGTCAAAATGTGTTCTAATTTCATTTCTGTTGTTATGATAAATATTCTGCCAAA